AATATAAATTTATAAAAGTTATAGTTATTATTATTTTTAAAAGATTTTAATTATTTTAATAAATAAATAGTTTTATTGCCTTTATTTATAATATATATTACTTTTAGCTTAAGAATTATAAATTATTCTTTTTTTAGGGATTTATAGTTTTTAGCTATATAGTTTAACTTCCTGCAATTATAATATTTAAATTCCTTTTTTTTCTTTTATATTATATTAAGGTTTATAAGTCCAGCTATATTACTATTGTTTTTAGTAATTAGTTTTTATTATTTTTTACCTTAATTTAACTATTCCTTGCTAAAGCTTTAGTTTTTTATATTAAGTTTATAAAATAAATTATTAGCTTTAATATATTCTTTTATAAAAAAAATAAAATTATATTTAATTTAATTTTTATTATAAACCTTTTTTTTTATACTTTTCTTAAGTTTATTATGAAATTGCTTAATAAAAGCAAGCTATTTTTATTTAACTTTAAAGGCTAAGTTTTTAAATTTTATAGTATAATTAAAATATTTTCTTTTTTAGTAAATATTTATAAGTTTATTTTTAGCTATATAGATTTCTTTAATGTTTTTAAATACTTTAGTAAGTTTTTTTTTAAATTATTTAAAACTATTAAAAACTTCTTAAAGTTAAGTTAATAGAGGTTTATTTAGGTTATTAAGGTAGGTATTTTATATTAAGTAAAACTATTTAAAAGCAGTTTTTTTAAAGCAAGAGGCTGTAAAAGAAGTTTTTTTATATTTTATATTAAAAGTAGTTTTAAAATCTTTAAAATATACCTTAAGCTAAGTTTAAAAAAAATAAAGTTTATTAGTCTTATTATTAAATATAAATAAAGGTTATTATTTAATAAATGCCTTTATATTCTTTTTAATAGATTTTTTATTATTAAGCTTATTTATAAAAATTTTATTTAATTTATATATATTTTTTATTAATTTAGCAGCTTTATTACTATTTATATTTTTTTAATTAAAGGTTTTTTTTATAATAATATTTCTATTATTATTTTAAATAAAAAAAAAAGTCTTTTTTAAAGTAAGTTAATATTTAATATTAGCTTAAGATATAATAGTTTAATTACTTAAAAAATCTAAAGTATTTTTTTAAATAAAAGTTATTAATATATAATATTTTAATCTTATACCTAGTATAAGGTAGCTAGTTTTTAAAAAGTAAACCTTTAATATTAGGTTTATATTAGTAAAGAGATATAAGGGATTTTATAAGTAGTTTTAATTATATAGTTAATAACTTTAAATAAAAGTTTAATTTAATTATTATATAAATATTATTTTAATAATTAATTATTTAAGCTATATTTAATAAATATAATAAATAGTTTTATATAGTAAGTTATTTTATTTAAATTATAGTTAAATTATAATACATAAGCTTATAATAGCTTATAGAAGTAATTTAATAAAGGTGCCTATAAACTATAATCCTTCTTTAATTAATCTGTTAGTCTTTAGTTAATCCTTAAGTATATACCTCTAGGCTATTAATATATAAACATAGGGTTTAGGTTGTAATACTATTATTATTATTTTTAATATAAGTATAAATAATATATTTATTACTATTATTTAAATTATAGTTAACTAAAAGTAACTTTTTTAAAAATAACTTTAAATAAACTTATAATACAGACACAAGCCAGCTTTATTATACTATAATAAACCATACATTAGATAATTAGTATAGGGTAGATTCCCAAGGGATAAACCTAAAATAAGTTCTTTAGGTTTATATTAAAGGATAGGTTAAAAAACCTATAAGCAATAATATTATAATAATAATTACTAGTAAAGATTAAAAATGCTTTTTTATTTATAAATATAAAACTATATTAATAACTAACTATTTAAGTTATTTAAAAGAAGTATAAAAAGTAAACTTATATATTTAATTAGCTAAATATCCTTAATATATTTAATAATTAAGTTTATTAAGTTATACTTAATATACTTAATAATAAATTTTATTAAATAGTCTATAATTAATTAATAAATTATAGTTAATTTATTTATGCCTATCTAGTAAACCTATTATTATAACCTTAAGTATTAGGTTATAATACAATACTCCCCTTCTATTAGTCTTATCCTTAAAACCTTATTCTTAAACCTATACTTTCCTTACTATTTATAAATATTAATTTCTACTTTTTTTATTTTTTTAATTTAGCTAATAAAATAGCTAGCAGCAAATGCAAGCATTTTAAGTTTTCTTAAGTTCTATAATATAATATACTTAAACATTCTATTTTACTTATGCTATTAATTATAAAGCCTTACCTTTATTATAAAAAGTATAGTTATAAATATTTTACTTTTAAAAAAAATTCTTTATATTATTTATAGTATATTTATTATTAATAATTAAATTATAAAGCTTTTAATCTTTCTGCATTCTAGCTTTAGAAAATAGTAACTAAAGGTATTAATTTTAACTTTAAATTAAAAAAAGCAGAAGAGGCTTAGTTAAAGACTAGTGTATATATAAAATATCTTTATATTTAAAAAAAGAAATAATTTAAAAAAATAAAAAAAGCTATTAAGCAAGGGATTAATAATTTAAAAGAGTTAAAGCAGGTTAAGCGCAAGGAATATAAAGCAGAGGCTGCTTGCCAGGCTGCTTTAGTGCCTAGTTCTTCTATCAGCCTATCCCAGTTTATTAATAACATTAATTAATTTACCTTTAATCTAGACCTATTATTATTTCTACCCTTAATAATTAATAAAATTCCTATAAAATTATTTAAATATTTTTCTTAAGTTTTTTTTCTAAAATCTAAGAGTCTTTAAATAAATTATATTCTTTCTATTTTATAAAATACTCCTATTTACCTATTTCTTTATTTACTTATATATAAGTTAATTTTTTAATTTTATATTCTTTTTCTTTATCTTAAATAATAATTTTATTTATAATTAATTTACCTATTTCTTTATCTACTAATACCTTTTCTAGCAGTAAAATATAAAAAACAGCTGTTTTTAATTTTATATTATTAAATAAATTTAACTTATAGTTAACTTCTTTAATTTTCTTTAAAATTTTAAATAA